TAGGGAAATAGAAATCAGCGGATTCTCAGCTTCTGTGGAAACCTTTGGATCGTACAGCAGTTGCTGGGACCACTAAGCATGCCAGTGCCATTTTTTGGAACTTAACAAGTGGTCTGTAGGGTGTCAACTGCCAAGAACACTGAACATGAATGCTCAAAGTGCCTGCCCAAGGGAATATTCAAAGAAACAAGGCTTTAACCCTGTCCAATCCTCCTAAGTATGCATGTGGCCCCGAGTTTGACTACACAAGCCAGTGAGTAATCACCAGCAGAGGAGTCTTCCATCTTCAGCTCCCCATTTCCTATTAGTGTTGGCTACAGAACAATCGGAGAAGAATAATTTCTGTAATGATAAGAATAAATTACACTGAGCTTTACCACCGCATTTCCTGGAATTCAGCCAAGACCCCCCTCTCACTGCACATCCTGTACCACAAAGTCTCTGTCGCTTTCATTTTTCTATCTGCAATTGACAGCCGGGCTTCCTGCTTGCTCTTGGTGGATAATCACTTGGCGAAGTGCAGAGGCAGGTGCTCATTTAACCCAGCCTCTCCACTATGAATAGACTCATCAGCAGCTCTGTGACTCGACAGCTCATCAAATTGCTAATTCTAAACAGTGAAGCAGAGCACATCTGTAGGGTACCAATCCCATTTTTCATGCAGAAATTTGCCTCCAGTTCTGGAGTAAATTGAGTATTTATTCAAAATTTTCTTGCTCTGTCTTCTGCGGAATACACTCTTATCACTGCATTTAAGCAGCACTTCAAAATGAATTCATATCTCACGTAATTGAAACGGTCCTATTGAGTAACATGTTAGAAAGCTAAGAGAATCTCTGATGTCCTTAACATTAACAAACAGGAGGAAAAAACACAAAAAGAAACTAATTTCCATATTTTTTTCAGTCCTGAGTTAAGTGAGTTTCTTCTAAAGGAAGTGCTTGAGTTATGTTTCAGGATTCCATGTAAGGATTCCACACAGTCATTGTCTCTGAAAGATTGTCTTACCAAGGAAGGTGAGAAGAAAACTCCACAGAGAATCCTTCTAACATGGAGGCTCTTCCACTGATTGTTTTATGCATTTGAAAGAGGGAGAGGGAAAAGCTTAGAGGGGCCAGAGCTCACCCAGTCCCTCTACAGAGCTTATGGCAGGAGGTATGAACCAAACCCCTCGGCTAGAAGGCCCACACCTCTACTCAACACCAGTCTGGTTTTAGGCTTTCTTGATTAAAGGCAGCATGGCAGTGCCACTGCTGTCTCACAGAGGAGATGGGGACCTAGTGTGTTTGTCCTTTTAAATTCTGCTTTGCTTCCTGGTGGAAGCAGGTGAAATCCTGAATTAACACAGGAAACACCTGGAGGCTCAGTGAAAAAGGAAACGACACCATGGAAGTAGCTACATTTGTGGGAATCTAAGCTCCAGCAAAGACTGATGTTCTGATCTCTACAAGCATTTTTTAGCAAGTCCATTTAGAATTTGTGAGTTCCCCTAAAACCTTCCATGTGCAACCAAGCATGGTATCTGGACAGTCAAATCAAACTGCTTTCTCATCCGATTTCCATAATTTCATTATTTGATCCTGATCAACACATCAAATGAAGGAAGGTGGATAATCAGCTTTGTACTATAAGAATTGTAAGTATAAGAATCAGGGCAGTTAGAGAAATAATCATTATCCAGATTGGCCAATTTCCCTACCAGTGCAACAGTACTGCTGTAAAGTAGATTTAATTGGGACATCTTCAATCCTATTAAAGAAAAAAAAAAGCCAAAAAAAAAAAAAAGCAAAAAAAAAAAAAAGCAAAAAAAAAAAAAAGCAAAAAAAAAAAAAAGCAAAAAAAAAAAAAAGCAAAAAAAAAAAAAAGCAAAAAAAAAAAAAAGCAAAAAAAAAAAAAAGCAAAAAAAAAAAAAAGCAAAAAAAAAAAAAAGCAAAAAAAAAAAAAAGCAAAAAAAAAAAAAAGCAAAAAAAAAAAAAAGCAAAAAAAAAAAAAAGCAAAAAAAAAAAAAAGCCAAAAAGCAATAAAACAGGACCTTTTGAAAGTTATTTTCTGTCCACCAGTTATATCACAGGCAATGCAATAATTCTAATATTTTTGGAGTAATATTAGTTTAATTTAATTACATAATTCCTGTATTTTCTCTTACTAGATGCAGAAATATGCATATAAAATACAGACATAATTGTGTATGGTTTCTCCTACATATTTAATACAGCAAAAGTAATAAAAAATTGTCCACTCAAGTGCCTTTAGCAAGCTACACTGCCAACCCTAAGACATGAAAAATCCTAAGGTTACACAATACGAAACCTTTGCAATTAACAATTAGGTAAAAAATACCGTGTTTTTTTGATTTTTTGTCTTCGAACGTTAGAGCCTGGAGGGTGCAGGTACATCACATTTTTAGATTCTTTCTCTGGAGGCAAGATGTTCAGAAACGCATTTGAAAACCACCCAAACTGCTTCCTGATTTCACATAATTGCTTAGCTCCCCAAAACACAACACTCACAATAGAACTGTGAGCATGAGCAGTGCCAAACAAAGAGGACATTCACCTTCTATGCCTAACCCTTATTTTAGCACTGAAAATGTGGTGAATGACTTAACTATTATTCTTAAACTAGATTCTCATCTAGCTTTCGATGAATCTGACTCTGAGGAAATGACAACACTGTAGTGTTAATTACCTCCCAGTGATCAGGAAGAACAAAGTGAGGATGACCAGGAGAGTGAATCCACCAACAGCAGCAGTGGCAATTACAAGAATCTGTCCCTGCTCGGCAGCCATATCAGAAGCTGAAAGAGAAGCACAAAGAAAAGAGGTTAAAGCTCCATCAGTCAGGGTTCTTGCTGAATGGGTGATAACATTTCACTGGTCAAAAGTTGCAGTTACTCTGTAATAGTTTTCTTAGTGCTTAGCAAGGACATCAGATGCAAATGGGCCTGTGAAGTGAAAAACTGTAATCCATGTCCTAAATATGATGAAGAGGAGAAGATGTTGATAGGATTTTAAAATGAGGAGCTGGCATCATCAGACATTTGCAATTTACTAAAGTTTGACTATGACAGGATTTTGGACACAAAACTACAACATAGATTTTCTTTAGCTTTATGTAGCTTAATCCTGCAACTAATTCAGAAATCCTCTCTAACCAGCTGTTCCAGTGAAGTCGGCAGCACTGCTATGTATGTAAGACATTAAACTGGGTTCAGAAGACAGCAAAGTAGAAAAAGCATACTTAATGTGTGGCCTCACACAGTCTTCTGTATGACTGGTGTTTATTTTTATTGTCACAACATGTATACAGTTTTAGCTATAACATGTTCTGGTGATTGGCAACACTGTAGGTGAAAAAAAATAAGTTATTTTCTTATGTCTCTCTGCTTTTTGTAGGACATTTAGGAGTTAAAAAAGATCACCTGAAATTATATGGTGAATAGAGACATGCTCTTTTTATTAATTTATTCTATTTAATATTAAATCTTGACATTGACAAAGTACCTACTTACAGTCTGGTTGGTCCTCACTGTTCAAGTACTACATGAGCAGAAAAATAATTAAGCTCAGTTTTTTCTCTATCTCCTGTCTTGTCGCTCTAAAGTTTATTTCTAAAACTCAGTTACACATCAACATTTTCACCAGCTTCCGTTTCCCTAATTCTTAATTTCTGTTTCCATGAGAAACATTAGATTGTTCCGAAAGGAAAATACATACTTCTATTCCATAATCTCTGACAACAGTAGCAAATGTAGAAAATAAAAATAAATCTTAGATTTATAAAGAATGCAACTTTGTTTGTGTAAACTTGCATACTGTTCAATAAGCAGTATCTTCAGCTTTCTTTAGGCACCAGATGATTAGATCTTAGGGAAAACACCAGGCTGTTACAAGGGAAAGCTCAGTAGGCTATAGTCTCTCACTTTGCAGCTGATGAAGCCCAATACAATGCACACACTGCTGCCCAAAGCCTTGTAAAATGCAGTTTCCAAAAAACCCAAACCCCAACATTTGGCTTCTACATAATACTTGTGGTTTAGAATTTAGCAATGTAAACTGGCTTTGTAACAGTAGTAAAGCAAATAAAACCAATAGTAGTTTACATCAATTTTTCAGCAAAAACAGCTTGTTAAATTTCTGCCATTAGGTTTCTGCCCACATAATTTAATGGAGATATGCTCAGGCAGTAAATGACAAGGCATTCAGTATCTGTGGTCATGAGCTCACCGCAGACAAGTTAAATACATACATCTTGCAATAAATGATGTAGCAATTACCGACTGAATAGCTAATCTCCAGAATGGTATCTAGTGATGTTATGGGAGTGGCTTCTAGCTCTGCATTGTTTTAGTTCCACAGGGTCAGGTTTAGTTGGAAAAACACACCACAACAAATATCATGTGACACAAGTAATGTTGCAAATAATAATAGGCTCTCCAAACCAAACGGTGAATGCTATTTTCAGACCAGTGGGGATTGGGCTAAACATTGCCAAGATTGGTACAGCCAGACACAGTTGTAAATGGAGGAGGAGGTTTTAGATGAGACTACTTGCCCATCTCTCAACTTCATTTATTTATTTATTTATTTAAATAGGAAAGAGCATTGTGCAAAAATAGTGAATTCAGAAGGAGAAAAGCAGACCACAGGCTCAGATAAACTAGCTATGGTTTTCTGCAACTGACATTCATTTCCAAGGACACAACACAGAGCCTTTCTTAATGAGAATTAAAGGTGCACAGGTAGGGACTTATTCCATGGTACAAATGAGCACTCTACAGCTACTGAGATGAAGAAAATCACACGTCCTGGAAAATGTCTGCTGAATGGAGCTGCCATTTCTGAGTGCTCTAGCTAAAATAGAATGCAATCTCTCAGTTTAATAATACATATTTTCTATCAAGAATCAGAGTCAAAATAATGAAGGTGAGAAATTTCAGTCTGACTTAGGTCTTTCCACCTCTAAGCAATACAACTTTTAGCAGAGATGATGTATTTTAAAAGCAATCATTCTATTTCTCCTGTTTGTATTTTACTGAGTTGGTAGAGGTGCCAAAGTCCAACACATTATGATTTTTTTTCCAAGTAGCCAAATAACTGTAAGGAGCTTTCAAGCCTGAAACTTCCTGATGACCTTAATTTACTTGTCAGATAAAAATGTCAAATGATAGACAACTATAATTGGAAAATGTGGATTTGTTAAAAACTGACAGAGAGGCAGGCAAGGCAAAATGATGGAAATACTTATTTTTGCTTGAAGTGATCCTTCTAGAAATCAATAAAGGCACAGCGCAGTGAACAACACATATATAAGCACATGTATATGCGCATAGAGAAACTCCTCACATGCAGGTGAAAGGTTCCATAAAATACTATGTAGGCAATGAAAAGATGGTAATCAGAGACACTCAATAATTATTTTTTTTACTGCATTTTGCCATTCTAAATTAAATTCAGCATGCCCTTCAATCTCTGTTCTTTTTTCATTTCTCCAGTTTTCTCCTAAGGTGAAGTTAAAGTTGTAAAAAATAAGAGCTTTGATGCTTATTGTTTCAGTTGAACATGTTCTTGATTCTTGTTTAGAATTTCCGGCTTTTTCTTCCTTCATTTTTCCTCTCCATCAGCTGTGCGTATCAGTATATGACCCCATGTTCCTCCTCAGGACTATTCTTGCAAAGCCAAGCAAGTTCCTGCAACTGTATTTCATCTCTTTGTGTATATATTAGGGTATGGCATTTAATCATAGAACCACATAGCATTTTTTCTAGAACCTCATTTGTTAGAAAACATTACCAGTACTCATACAGCTAAAAATCAGAATTCTATTGCCTCTACACTGTCCAGTGCACAGTCTCTTATGTGCTGCCTAAGCACCACCTAAATCTGTCCAGTGCAGGAAAGATCTGTGCTCAAAGAAAAGACTGTGGCTGTATCATATTTGGGGACATACTTCATTTAACATTTAAAGTTGATAGGCACAGGGCTGAGGAAGTGCTGTTGCAACAGGAACAGGCAAACCACTAGCAGTCCTAAGATGCATAAGGGAGCTTAGTATCTATCTAGCTGAGCTGGCTGTTTTGTTTGGCAATATATTTCATTCTGCCTGCCCATATCCTCAAGAAGTTACTTTTGATAAAAAGTATACTTTAAAAAATCAGTAGCATAAGAGAAAGACAAGGGAGGATTTATTACTTATCCCAGCAGATGATTAGATAGCACTCATGCACGTATAATATGTACCTATAGTATATATATGTGTATATATAAGCATATATATAAATGTATATGTTTGTGTGTCAAAACTATTCAAACACATTGTAGCAGCAAGCAATGTGATTAGTCAAACCAGTGATTTTATTTTAAAAGTGTAGCATGTATCATACATGTACCCATATTATCCAGACAACTCTTCACTCCCATTACTCTTCATGCTTTTCTGAGGTTATAAGCCCAAAATGACATTTTAAGTGTCTAATTGTATAGTTTCAGCTTCCTTGCTTAATACCATGCCCAGAAGTCCCTTCTACATCCAGCCTGGTGTCAGTTCTGTCCCCATTATCTACTCTTTGCATCAATGCCCTGTCTCAGCTCCTCTCCAGGTTCTTCAATCAAGTGTATGGAGAAGGAGCTGCATTTTCCCTCCTCTCTGGGCTGATGTTGGGAAATGTCCCAAGGCTTCTTCAGTTACTCACCAGGCAGACTGGAAGAAATGGCGCAGATGTTTTAGTCACCATGCAAGAGGATGAAAGCTGCAATATTGCAGTTCTGTTTTCCTTTCTTTTCTTTGAGCAAATTTCTCTATTTTATTTTTTATTTTTTTTAAGTTGTGTATTTGTTATAACAGGGCTGGAAGTACTAATGACAAACTCAGTTCTGTTGCTTAGCTACATCACTTAGTCATTTCAATTTGACATCTATCAAGCAGTGGACCTTCCAGCAGACTGAAAGATAAGAAATGTGAGAGAAAGACAGCTAGACAGATAGTGAATAGCTGTAAGATAGATAAGTGGGGACAGTGAGAACTGGATCTCTGATAGGCAGGAACTGGCTGTCAGATGGATTTACAAGGCATTGAAAAAAACAGTACTTAAGAATAATAGGGAAGAAAAATATAAAGTCTAATTAGAATAACCAGTACATTTTCAGAAGTGCAACAGCTCTTGTACTGCAGTGAGCTGATGGGCTCCAGTCTAAGAAAGAATGTGGGCAAGAGAGCAGGCAATGGAAAGGCAATCTTAAAAAGGAGTTTAAAAAGGGAAAAATAAAGCTATCATTAGCACAAGAGTGTAAAACATTTTGGTATGTATTTGCCTGAAAAGCCTTCTTCCAAGTGTTGACTTAACACTACTTTCCCAATCAGTGGATGAAAGGAAAGACTGTGCAAGTAGTTTGAGATCTGAGCAAGGACATTGCTCTCGTTTAGGAAATGCAGAGGAAAAGTAAAACCTCTGGGGCTTCTGGGCACGTACAGTAGAGGAATGCTCTTCTATTTGAAGAACAAATGGCTGAAAATGCAAAACACAGTAAGGAAATACTTCAAGTTTAATATATGACATTCAAAATATCCAGCACTGACTAGATTTGATGAACAGGGACTAGTAGGACTAGGCAGACATGGGAGAGATACAGCAAGATAGTTTCCAAATAGGAGAGATGTGCCATCTCATGTGTTCATTCCAAGCAGAAATTTAACTTACTATTGTCAAAACACCAAACATTCTAACAACAACAACAAAATAATTAAAATAAATCTCCATTTTGCATTGGCAATTACATTATTTCTAAAAATCCTACAGACAGCTTCACAGTTGTTGAATGAATCAGAGCATATGTTTAAAACAATACTGGATCCGTCTGTTAAGTTTTGGAATTCTGGAAAGAATGGAGCTCAGGATCTCAATCACATCTGGTGGTAAATCCAAGGATAATTATTATTAATGAAAACATTAGCCAGATTCTGCCAGGCTACCTCTCCTTGCTTCCACCCTCTGAAGACTTTGTTTTTGCATCTAAGTGTGTCCAGAAGCTCCTTGTTCATCCATGCAGGCCTCCTAGCATTCTTGTCTGCCTTCCTATTCCTGGGCTTGGAGGAGGTCATCCTTGAATACTGACCAGCTTTCTTGGCCTTGATGAAGATAGATTCCTACACAACTTCACTTTGCATGGTCAGAAAGCTAGATGCACGCCAGCAAGGGCTAATTAGTATTCACACGTACTGATATAACTATGCAGTCTAAGTCTCAACACAACCCTCTCCAATCCTTTAATCTAAACATAGGCCAGTATTTTGGAGTACAATGGCACTGACAAAAATGTTGCTATGTTCTAGTTTTTCAGCTGTGTAAGACAGTGCTGTAGTTCAGGTGACAAGTGCTTAGATGTGTAAGTAAAAGAAAACTGAATGATACAAAGCAATGTTAGGTCTGTTTATGGCATCATAAACAGACTCAGTTTCCCAGTTTAATTCAGTATCAGATTCAGCTTTGCTGTTAGGCTTCCAAAAGGATGTTAAAACTTTGTAGAGCTACAAAAGGATTCTATGTTTGGAAAAACTAGGGTGTTTTTCTTTTTTAGAGTGAGAGGAAGCATTTATATGAAAAGCAAATATATAAGGTGCATTTATGTTTCACTATGAAGATTCACACTGAATGCTTAGAAATAACAGAGGTAATAAATGTTAAAGAGCATTGTGAGCTCTAGATCACCACACAGCCCAAGAGCCAGTTGTAGTAGTGCAACAGAGGAGATGTGGGGTTGGGACAGAGTGGGTAGAATCTCACTCCCAGGAGATGTTTCTATCAGCAATGCCAATGAGAGAAATGCCACTGGAACCACAATCTTTATGATTTAGATGGGTAAGTCAGATTTGCACAAACATGACACAGGCTTATAGAGGTTTAAATAACATTTACATTTGATAAGAGCTATGTCCCTAGGCCCTAGTATTTTTTGCAGCATCAGATGCAGAGAGGATCTACTCGAATTCTTCAAAGCACCCAAGTACTCAGCTCCTATTTAAAGCAATTGGATTAAGTACCCAGAAAACTTTAAAAAGTCCAATTAGGCAGTAAGCACTTAGAAATCTATCCCTAAAACATTTTTCAAATAGAAGTTAAGAAGCAATGAAAATGGAACACAAGCCCAAGGGTGCTCTTGAAAACACATAGTTTTGAATCTGTACTTTAACTTAAGCAATTTGAATTCTAAAACACTAATGAAAAACAAGGTATACGTAATTGGTTAATTACAGTAATTTCATTAATGAGTGCTTTAGTGTTGCATCTACCACACAAATTTTATCTCAAATGCTTGTAAATACTTTGCAGTTTCTTTGAACATGGAGGGCAATACATGACTTAAATATAAAATTGTTCAGAGCATGAATAGCATACATAGTATAAAGCCTTTTTTCATATTCTGTGGGAATATGTAGGCTTTTTGCTTCTTACTGGCAGATCTAGCTGGCTCATTGTTTGACAGAAATGCATATAAAACTTTTCATTTTTTCTATCTGTAGAGTCTGGAAGCTGTAAAAACTACAGAGAAAAGACTCCATCCTTGTGTGCTTGCATGAAGCTACTGTATTGTAGAGCCTAAGAGTACTTCTAGATGTCAAAAGGAAGGCCTTCTTTAAGCAGAGAAAGGAACAGAATCAAAGAACATCTCCAGCTGGAAGGGACCCATAAGGAATTTTTGCAAAGGAAACATTCCTTCAGCTGCAGTGTTGGGTTAAAATTTCTATTTGTTACAAATCCAGAAGTGTGAAGCTGGGGCTTACTTGTTTTTTATCATACAGCAGTGGTCATTCTATGCAAAGCAAATGGTATGGATTCAGGCACTAAAATTCCCAGTGCTTCACTGTTTTAGAATTAGATGCTACTTCTATTGCATTTGATTTTTATTTTTTTTCCTTCAGTGAAACTTACTTTCATCTCCAGTTTCAAATTCAAACTTCTGGCTATAGCCGCTGTATCCTGCTGCCGTCCTGACTCTGATATGAAATATATACTTGGTGGCTGGCTTGAGACCTGTGACGATAACACTTGGAGCCTTGGACCTTGTGGAGGAATAGCTGAGCTGCTCATGCTCCTGGTGGACAAAAGAGGGGAGAAACGACATCAAGTTGAGTTGCATAAACTTTGCAAAAATGATATAGCAGAACTGAAGCTCCACATTCTTCCCATGAGTGTAAAATGTGTTTGTAAAAGCAGGTGCAAGTATGGATTTTTGTACTTTGATTTTGCACTATAGTCACAATGTATGATGTGGCCTTGGCTCAGATTTCTCTTTTTTGTCTTTAATCTTACATAAAAACACATCACTTCTTTGTGACTTGGGTTAGTAATTACACTGTAGCCAAAACACTATGGAATTAGTACAAGACTACTGTCACAGAAAATGGGAGCTAGAATGGTAGCTAATTATTTTTGCACAATGGACAAACTGGGAGGCCAATAAATACTAATAAGCTGTAAAGTAAAGATGTGGGAGTATCCGAATACCCGCTACTCACTTCTACCCGCAGGTAGTGCCAAAATGCCGGCGCTATCCGTGGGTAGACCTGTGGGTAAAAGAAAATACAAATTAACTTTTTCTTTAAAGTCTGGAAACTTCTAGAATGGTTCAACTGCTTCACTGCTGTTGAACTTGATTTCTCTTTCCACATAGGTGTAATGTAGTCATGCATGAAATTCCCTTTCACACTTGATAAGGAGGAACAATCCCTGCAAAAGCTCCTGTTTATTCCCTAGCAGTTGATCCTGGACATCTGCTGAGAATTTCTGACTCTCACAGAGAACTCCTGACTCTCGCAGGAATCACTGAGAGTTATAGTGTGCAGAGATCATAGTGAATTATTGCTGCAGACAAGCTGTTCTAGTGTGGAGACCATGTCAATTGCTGTGTAAAAACTAAGTACTTTTTTGCTAGACAGGTCGTTGACTACCCTTTTACATGAGGGGATGACTTAGAAGAGTTTATTCCCTGTCATTAGCTACTGTCACTTGTTAAATCAGTAATCTGTAATATTTTGTACGGTGCCTTAAGGCTAGCTTTACTTTTTTGCAGCAGGATTTGTCTCCAAAATGACACATGAGCAGAAATGTCCTTGGCATATACTTAACAATCCAACTGTGATACCCATAGGGTACCATAAACATTTATTATACCGTGCAGTAATATTAGAGTATGTATAAGTTATTCAGAGGGTGCTTCCAGCCTGTTAAGAAGGAAACAACCTGGTTCACAGAGGAGATATAACTAGGAGAATAATAGGTTTGTGTTAGATTTTGTTGGACTCTCAAACTCTTCTGAGCCACTGACATATATTGTTTTATACAAAGTAAGAAGTTTTATATGAAACATGCCAAATCAACTTCAATCATGGTGTAGCAAAGTGACATTAGCATAGGGCAGCATGTGAATCAGTATTCCTCCCAGTAAGCATTCAAGGAGATGGCTAAGAAAACCAAATTAAAAAACCAACCGAACAAAAAAAGTGATATAATGATCAATAATCCAATGATCTTACTTCAAACAGTGGAAATAATTTGAGAAACTCTAGTAAGAGGAAGCATTGATCTGTTCTACATTCTACTACCAAAGTCTAAAACAGCAAAAAAAGTGAATTTAAGCTGAAATAGTAAGACACTGAGTACATGTAATCTCACAGCTTGAGACTACAATTAATATATCATTTAACAACATCTGTAATTATAAAAAGATTTACATGAAAAGTTATAAATTCACTTTGAACAGGTTGGTGGGTTTGAGACTTTTTTTTTAAACTTCAGAAAATATCTGTTTTCTTCTGATAGAAGGCCAATCTGCTAACATGATGTATTTTTTTTAATATTCTTTTTTTTGTGATTAAACTGGCTTCAACTTGAAAAATAGCATGTATGTGAGCAAAAAAAAAGGTATAATGGGCTAATACCCAGGATTGCAACGAAACAAAGACCTCCTACGCATGCAGAGGGGTTTTCATACTATTTTATGGACACTACAGAAACATGCAGTGTATGAATAGCTAAATTCTATTCTATCGCCTTGTTATACGTGCAACTTCAGAGACTTCCTTGTGGAGAGGGGTCATACGACTTAACACGCAACTTGGCCATGGCATGAAAACTTAGAGAACACAAGACTTGGAATTATTTAGTAATGAAGCTTCTGTCTAAAGTATGCACTTTTGCCCAAAGAAACGGTCTTTCAAAACAAGCTAGAGACCAGGTCAAAATCAATCCAAGAATTAGGGAAAACACTGGGGGAAAAAAACCCAGAAACCACCAGATTTTGCACAATCCTAAGACCACACTGAATCATAAGTATGTCCCAATGTTTGTGATACAGCTTGTTAAATATCAGTATTAGACTGTTTCTGCACTTCAGGTAAAGACACGACAATCAGTGAAGGAAAGATGCCGGTTATGTTCATTAAAGGTTATGTAAACAGCAAATGCTTGCTCTATACAGTTTCAGTGAGTACTACGTGCTCCATCTGTCATAGCCCAGACACAGGTTGCCAGAGACTTTAGAGTTTGGAACACAAGCATCTTTCAGAATCAAACTCTTTCCTGCAGCCACCTCTGCTTGAGTATCTGAATCTGCATCTATTCTAATTTTGTACTTCATTTTACAGTCAAGATATTTTTTCATATCTAAAGAAACAGACTGACTGAAAGAAAGTCAGTCACAATGGTGCTAATGGCTAAGATGAGACAAACTGATTTAATGGAGTAGCAGGATAAGAATATAAAATAATAACTAAATGCTATCTCCTTTTGCAATGTGCCAGAATAGCTGGATCTGTCCCATCGACATATGCTGTAATTAAACATTTTCACTGCATGACATAATCAAATTAAATGAGAGTTCTTCATTATGCCTCACTCAAAGTGGCTACTTTATTAATGAATGTCATATTCATTCAATATCCAGATGTTACAGTGATGAGTATTACCATTTTCTCATATGCTCAAAAGAAAGGGGATTCCCTCTGATGACATTAACACTTGCAAGCAAATACATAAACCTACGTGAACACACTGCTTTCTAATTTTAACCCTACCTTCCTTCAGAGGGAAGTTGCAGAGAAATGAAGACTTTGTGCACATACATGAAGCATATGCTGATAAAGATTAAGCAAAATGTGATTACCTTTACTCAGTTTAGACTCATACTGCAGTGAAAGAGTTTACATTCTGATAGTGTATTTATTGCTAAAAATCCCTAGTGCAAAAAAGGATTAATGGAAATAAAAGCTGAAATGCAGACTTTTCCTTTTATTGCTCAAACAAGCTTTAAAATATTAACTGTACCAGTAAAGCACTGATAAAAATCCCGGCACTTTCATGTGCATAAAATTTGTCACTGCTAATATTTGAGTGGGAAAGAAAACAAGTCTCTAATGAAAATAATATCAGTCCTTGTTTTAGCAATTGAAAAAGATTTCTATAATTTAGAATATATAATATATAATGGGAGCTTCAGGAATTACGGCTCTTTCACAGTTTACTCTGTTTCTAGCTTATTTTACAAATGACAATCAAGGTATTCAGTCCATCGAGTTCCATAAGTAACTGAAAAGCCTTCTTAAACTAATAATTATTTCAAAGGCTTCTGCCAGCTGAAAACATACTTATTATGCACCTACAACTTCCAAATGCGTGTGTGCAGGAAGACTCAAGGGAGACAGCAACTGAATTGACTATCTGCTTGTAAATACATTTTCTAGTTTATATCCATTGTCCTCCAACATGAAAACTTGGTACTTAAGCCATATAATCCTGCTTAGCCTTTTTGAAGTGCTATCACTTAACAGAAAGAAATACTAATAGAGTTTGAATCTATACACCACGGGGACTAGGTCTTTCTCCTGTGCACTAAAGCACAATGTCAAAGCTGAAATACCACATTAAAGTAAAGAAGATTCAGACACTATCAATGTTTAAGTAAAAGCACCAATGATAAGGAAGAATCTTTTTTTAGAGGTTTTGGTCACATTTTTCCTCCTTTCTAGCTACATTAGTTTGAAGCATACGCAAAATGTGACTTACAGCAGAAATATTATTTTAAAGGAATGGCCACAATTCTCAAAGATAAGAATTTTTATTAATCACATCTTTGGTCCATCATGAAATTAAGCCTCTTCCTTATTTTTGTCATGGAATCAGCTATGATGGCACTTAATTGCCTCCAGAGTTGGATGAACTTTAATGTTGCAATACACTTTAGAATACAACAGTAGGTAACTACTAGGTATAACCAAGTTGTGATTAACCAGTTCAAACAGAATCTATTAAAGACAAATAACAGCTAGGTGTGGAGTTTGTACCTACTGTGCACCTTTTTCAAGAAAAAAATAGCCCCCAAATCTCTAATTTATGGAAATTGCCGTTGATTTATACTGCCTATATTCCTCTCATAATTAATTTGTCCCAAATAATTATAAAATTTGTCCCAAATATAAATAATAATTATATTAGTTGTATTTGTCCATAATACAACTTCTGAATGTCTATTGCTCCCAGTCATATCTTACTTTGCATTTTACATAGATTGCTGTAACTGAGGAGTAACTACACTAAAATCAGTAAAATTAACTACACCTGAGAAACTCAGTCTGTTTCTGAAAGCTGCTTTGTCTTTGCTAATTCTGTGCATAATTTTCTTTTAGAAGACTATTGACCTATACTTTATCTATTAACATGAATGCAAACAGCAATATTTTGATGATATTCGAGAAAAAAAACCCATGGGTCCAAAAATGTTGATCACTATCAGCTTACAATATGATCAACAGGATTAAGTAAATTCTCATTGCAATATAGACAAATAATAAAATTACAGTAATAGAAATAATAATCAAAGACACTCTTCATTTTCTTAAAAATACACTTCCTAAAAAACTTGGACCTCTGGTTTCCTGC